TATATATATATATATATATATATATATATAGCGCCTGTCTCGTGTTCATTTAAGGAGACACGTTAACCTGTGGATTTAAGTCTCTATCTGCAAAGCTACTTCGAGGAGCCTTCAATGTAGTGGAAGTTTCCGGTTCGTTTTCCAGTGACACTTCCACTGTGCGGTGCTCGTAATCTCTGAAGCAACCAAGCTACGTTCTTCTTTTTTGTCAGGCTGATTATGGGGTTACAATGGAAATGCAGGGGAAGCTGTCCCGCGAACCGATGACTTGGTTAGGCAGAAGACCGATGGTTAAAGCACGTTGTTTGTGCAACGCCGGATGGACCGGTGCAGCATGTGGGGAGCCACTTATGATGAACGGCTGGACGCCATGGTCTCCTTGGTCGCACTGTGAGCCTGTTTGCCAGACATCTCTGACACAAAAACCACCAACTGCTGTTCAGGAAAGGTTTCTCGAAGGACAAAGCACACCGCGATGGGGAACGAGACAAAGAACACGACGGAGGGATTGTATGGGATTGTCGTATGATTGTCGGTACGAACTGCAAGAGCACTACGCTAGAACGGGTGGTTCCATTGGAGATGGTTTCTCATTGGTACAATATGAACGGAGGGCGTGTAGGCCTAGACCTTGTGATAGACATTTGTATCTGGCTATGGGAAAAAGAGCAGTACGGAGATCACGAATTCAGGGGCAAGTGGTGAGTTGTCTGTCAATGTAAAGTTGTTCTGTTTGATCTAACCAGCTTTCACAAGCATCCGCGATGTATCTTATGATGCCCCGCAGTGCTGTAGTTGACAGCTAAGAAATTGGGCAATCTTTCATGCGCGTCTGTACTACGGTCCATTAAAATCTCGGCCACCAACTGTACATATTTTATTCATCCGTAAAAGTCTCTTAAACTAAACAGGAAATTAGTATTTAGTCGAAATGTATAATTTGCTGTGTTCCCTCGCCTCCCAAATCCTGATGGTGGTAAAATTTGTCGCCCATAAGCTGAAGCGATACTTTTGTGAAGCCATCCAGTGCTAAGCATTACCTTCCCCGAGAACGGCCAAAAATCGATTTTCTTCGGGAAAGCTCTGATCACTTGATGGCGCGTGCTGATAGTATCATTAAAAAACAGCGTTATGCACAGAAAGCATGGGTCTTATTGTAGTGAGGAATGACTAAAAAGGTAAGAGTTGTTTTTCCAGCACCACTGTTGCTTCGCAACAGATAAATTTTACCTCAGGCTGAACACCGCAGAAAGGAACAAGTAAAAGTGCACCAGGACTCAAAGCACCCGGCACGATTCATTGGAGACTCGAAGACTTTTGTGGACGTTGGATACGTATGCCAATACTGCTAAGACATTTCAATAGTCTCCGCAGACAGCAAATAAATAGGGACTTGTAGTAAACAGTTAACATTTAACTGATCTTGCCTATATTCAACCGCCGTTCTCTTGACGACCCAGAAGCAAGTAAAAACTAGGTAGTTGCCACAACGACAACGAAAATCCTTCAATTCGGCGAGTGCCTCGATCTTTTTTGATTAACAACTGGTAAGCCATTTGTGGGGTTCCGAATCGAAGCAGTGGATTCTGGGTTCAAATTTCATTTTAATAGCTTCTGGATAATCATTCAGGTAGTCCACGAAAAGATGAAAGAACTATACGTGGAGTTGACTTTTATATCGTGCACTTATTTTATTTACGTGGTAGGATCTCAACAGAAGTACTTAAACTTCCTTAGTTCTGCAAACGTTACCAGCGCACGGCGTGAATTTCTTTGGTGTGCGGAAATACTGCAGTCTCAAGACCAAGATGACCTATCACCTGGTTAGTCTGCACCAACAGTTGGCACCAGAGTGAGACTTTCCAAGAAAGAGTGATCCACATTTCGGATGTCTTATTTTTAAGCCCAGTGGAGATTTAATTGCACTCTACCTGCTCCAACAAGAAGTGCAGCCTCCGGATGAAACCGTTTTTCTGGAACCTTGAGCCATCATTCGTTGTTTTCTCAACCGTCCTATCCCGTCTTCTCTGCGCATTGATGATGACGGGCCCCCATGTTAACAAGAATCACGCCTCAAACCGATCTACTTTGTATCGGATTGGTGTTGTCGTAGTGTTGTCTCGTTTCCTTGACTGATAATCAACTCACTGATTAACTCTGGGTGTGCGCGTTCTTATTTATAACATTTCTGGACGATCGCCGTACCATTCAAAATGGACAAAAATGCCTCACCATACTGAACACCTTGATGTGCTAATCCTGTGACGGTGTTATAAGTCACTGTCAATGATCATTGTACAGTCTATGGAAATGCATGTTTTTTTTTATTCTGGATGCGTAGTGCACCACGTTGCAGGAGCGTAGTTCACTTTGACAGGCAAATCCGGACGGAACTAATGTGAAGGTTGGTCGTAACGTTATTTATTTTGAATTGCCTTTCGCAAGTGGGTAAACTATTGCTTACCAATAAAGCCCCGAAGTAAACACTAATCGACTAAGTTTAGGAGGCTTGTCTATTGGTTTATTATAGTTTACTTCATAAAGCCACACAACGTATTCAGTCTTTGAGGTGGCTGTTAACGAGGTATGACTCAGCCAGTCATCAAATATATGTAGAATAATGGGGAATATTAGTCATAAGAAGATCTCTCTCTGTTTGTGGCAAATTAAGAGATATCCGTATAAAATTAGCGGTTTGGTAAGGTTAACTACTACCAATCAGCTGCGAGTCAACAAAAGCCAGACTCAAAATGTATCGGCCATATAAGGTCAGTTATGAGCTTTTGGGGAAGTGGTGCTCGGAAAAATTAAGCCAGATAAAAGGATATATGTTAATCTCAACAAAGCATACCTTAACAAGAAGGTAAATGCCATTTCTAGCACACTTCTGGAGGAAACAGCCTTTCAGTTAGCACATTAAATAGGCTAGGGCAAAACCCATCAATATGAAACACATTTATTTTAGAAACACTCGTGAACACATTTTGGGCTTACCCGCAAAATTCGCATGTGGATTGAGGGCTAAGCGATGAACGGGACGATTCATTAGAAGCTGTAGCCCCTGCGGTTAACAATATGTCGCGAAATTTTTAATTAAGATATTAAGTTGTTCATCCGGATGCAAGCACACCCATGTGGTTAATTTCAGAATGTTAACTGGATGTTACAGTGTTGTTTCTTTTCAGCGAATAGCGTGATCATTAACTGTACTTCAAACCAGTACACATTGTCTTAGGTCAGTATTGTAAAGTCGTCATGACAATAAGTAGCCATCAGCCAAACGAAATCTCCACATATGGGTTTCCGTTTGAGCTTTGGTCTTGGTTCTATGGTTTCGCGTCTGAGTTCAAGGTTAAAATTCATCTTTTTTGGGGAAGCTTCACCCACTTGCTATTCAATACCTCAACGAAACGCCACGCTCCCTATTTTTTGAAGTTTCCCATTTGAGGTATTTGCAAGACAATGACCCAGTAAGCATGCATTTACGTACGGAGCAAAAACTTTGCTGATAAGAGAAATCACAGATATTCTCAACAAAGATAGGTTTTGAGAAATGAGTTTCCGAAGTATATCACGACTCACCTGGCAGTTGCATATCATTCGCTTAGTGGCATTCTCACCCGTCGATTCAAAGGGTTACCAAGCAGAGAACTTTCAAGGAGACATTTTTTTTAAATGATAGCTCTTCCCCTGTCATGACACGTGTTTCAGTGTGAAAATTGGTTGGTTTGCTTTCTACTAATCGACGGATCCAATCACTAACTTAATTCAGTGATCTGGAATCTCTCCTGTATAAGGGTTATCTGTGTCCAAGCAGTGTGTGAATAAGTGCGATTCAGTCGAATAGTGAAAAAGAGTTGATCGATCTGATAAACTAGCGTAATTGTGGAGTCCGCCGATGCATCACTCAAACTCCAATATTGTCACAGCTAACGAGACGAAGAAGGCTAGTTAAGGGTATACATTCGAGTTGCTAACACACTGGAGTTTTGCTGTTTAGGAGTTTGGGTGAAATACATTGTATCGTAGATAAGTGGTACCAGTGAAATGTTGGCTAAGAGAAGCTGTTTAACAGTGGATCACTAACGAAATATATATCAACTATTCATACCAGACCAGCGTGATATGAGTCAGCATGAATGTTTAGAGCCGCAAATATCTGAACAACCACGCTGTTTCTGAAAGCTAAGTGAAAAAGCTGTCAAAAAGTTGTGAAATCAACTGATAAAACCTGAGCTGAACTACAGTCCACTAAGGCGTTTGGACTCGCTTTGGATGCCTACATCTGTTGATGGCAGGCCGGCCCACCCGAATGTCCAGACAGTTTGCCCTGCTGAAGCGCGTTTGCATCACCTGGTAGCACAGTCCTGCGGTAGATGACTCATCCAAAAGGTGAGATGGGAACCGTGGTCCTGGATGATTGATAAGTACACCTGTACAGTCTCTTTAATAAGGAGCGTCATGTAACGCCTGGGTTGTAGGATAGTCAGGTGAAAACAAGAGTTGGCGGAACCAACCAGTCGTCCTTAGACTGGTCTTCCGGCTTTCACTTCTCACACTCCAGGCCCCCAGTTTGTACTTACGTGATACAACGATGAAACTGTTCCACACGAATTACAAATACTGAAACTGAATAAAGTGGAATATCTGGGAACAAATTACGCGACATATCACGAAAAATCAAAACCTTACTTCAGGTAGATAAATTTAAGGAAGTTCGAATCGTCATGACATCCCGAGAACACTTTAGAAATTTTGTTGTTGGGTAAGGCACACGAATCATTAGACAATACGGTAATTTTGAGAGTGGACCTAGAACAGAGAACTAGCTTGAATTAAATTTTAAGTTAGCGCTAACGTCAAACAGCCCCGTCGTAAACAGTGATTACGCCAGACTGGGTGAGACTGTGCACAACAAAAGCTTTTTTCCAAACCAACAGAACTATCTTACGTTAAACTTAGAAGTACCCTGTCGCACCAAAATAGTCTGTTCACTGCACACATACAAAGTGTGACATGGCCTTCTGGAGGCGTCACTTGAAGAAGTAGAATCTTTACTTTCTACTTCAGTTGACGCTTCTCCTATTTAGTTTTTGGGCTGTTGATTCTGCCCGTGTGCCAAGCCTTGAGGCAGAGCTCTTTTGAAACGATTACGATCACTAATTCAGTATTAACGTCTGAAGTCAACTGTCGACGGGAGCTTAATACGGAGCCAGAAAATAAATTCCCTTCAAAGCTGCAAGAATATGGAAATCCATAGCGTCTATAGACAGAGGGTGGGCACACAGCCTAATAATGAGCGCAAACAACGGGCGAGTATAAACCAGACTGCTGTTGGGGAAGAAAATTTTGTAAGCAGTAATTAACGCTGACAATGGCGAAATAAAAGTAAACAAATGAAGCAACATGAATGTCAAGGTCGCAGTGACCACTACAAATATCAAGTATGCTCACTTCAAACACAAGTCTCCAATTTAGCGGTGACCAGGTTCTAACTAGTGTTAAAGGTAAGTTGTTTTTCTACAGCACATGTTTCAGCGTTTAAAGATGGATCCTCATCTGAACACGCAATGTAAATTTAAGTCACTTAGTCTATCTAAATCTCAAAGAGGTGCAACGGTGATGTATATCTTGGGAGAAAGTACACGATAATAGGTATTGTTTTTGTTGGTTTGTCCAGATTTACTGTCCGCTTAATAAAGGTAATGTTCTCATGGTAATAAATTGCAAAATCGCAGTGACTTTTTCCAATTCGAGTAGATGCAAATTCGCCATATGAAACTACGGTCAGTTTCATCAATATGTAATGTTCTGTGCCTTAAGCTCACTCTTCACTGCTCAAAAGAGGCACTAGTTGGTTTAAAATTAGTTTTACATTGATCTGATCTATCAAGAACAATGAATGTCTATAACAATTATCAGTAAAAAGAAACCAGTGGTCCAGCATGGGTCGATGAGCAGTTGCGAATTTTACCGTACTATCTTCCAAAACACCTGTCTTTGTATGGTATGGATGAACTGTCGGTCCCAGTAAAAGAACTGCGCTCAACCTGACACTTTGACAAAATCCAGTGGCAAAATCTCCAAATTTGCAGAAACTTTACAATACGAGTACGTTTGAAAGGTTATCGGACATAATACAGACTATCAAATAGCTTGGTACCGTACATGGTGTGCCATTGTACCCTGCTAAATGAACCGCTTCCGTGTATGAAACGCAAACAAACTACGTTGGGTGTACCCTTACTCCACCCAACAGCAGATTTCATGCTCAACCACTAAGAATGTATTACCAGAACTGTAAATCTTTCTTCAAATGCGAAACAGACTTAGCTTGTTTGAAATGGAAACCAAATGCTCTTGGTTTCTGGGATGGCACATTAGCTCCCTTCGTATGCCTTTTCTACACCTCTGCTGGGCACGTTTGTTCGACTGCCCATTTATTTGTTGCTATGTAAATGATAACAATATTGCCAAAACAGTTCAACCCCTGAGCCAACTCATCTGAAACCTGAACAGAGTAGTGTGAACAGCATAAGACTGGAACTCGTGATCCAACAGATACGTGCAGAAAGAGTTGATAAAGCAGATACTAACAGAAAGGTGACCGAGACCCACTGTATCAAATACCTTTTATCCCAAATATTGTGGTTTGAATTACTTAAAACACATGCTATGTCGGTCCCATAATGAATAAACGTGCATCCTTTTCAGCGCGACACGCTTAAACAGGCCTACACGGTGCATCTTTGGACTGTATTGGCCTTTGCTTTTGTCTTCGCCATTTTCGCCTTTTTCGCTGCATTCGCAACCAAAATGCAAAGTGAACAGGCATATGACGATATGCTTTTCCACAAGCTATCCTCCGATGAATGATAGCCTGTGAACGTCTTTGTTACCTGTGAGTCACCTGAACAATTCTTGATAATTGTGCATTTTATCATTATTCCTGTAATAAACGTTTTCGAGAAAAACAAGCTACTTTCTTATACAGCGCCAAAGTGCACTATACTTGTTCCCTACAAACGCCTTATTGGTTTGCTGAATAAGTTGAAATTTCTCGTTTTCATCGAGGAGGGGGTTTGCTGACATCAGTATAATTCAACCTTATGATTCAGCGAACCTATCTCTGTATGGGTACAGATAACATGAGCGTGTTCCTCGTGTATTCGATTTCTTTTTCCCTTCCTCAGTTATATCATGCACCATACATGCTATAAGGCTGTGTACACGCTTAATGCACAAGTACCTGGTAACATTTGAATTTAGTCAGGAAGCTCACACAATATACGTGAAGACGGTCTGAAAACATGCGCGATACTCCTTTAAACGCACGCTGAGAGCAACTCGTTGAGTGCACTTCAATGCCGAAATTCCGAACAATTAGCTTAAATTTCTGTACCCTATAAACAGCATCCTAAACCCACTATAATGTTCATAATCTGAAATAACGGCAACCATGCAGAACTGCGAACTATATACAACACGTTGACAATCGTTCTCAGAATCCAACCAGCAGGTCTGTAGAAATGGTGTTCATTTACGCACTAATAGGTGAACGTATTTCTTGCTAGAAAATTCTCACTAGCCCGGTCGAACGGACAGCGGCTGGCAGCCGTAACTGCGATGGCATCAAGTTGTCTGGGTGATACCCTCGATTTGACCATCAGAAGAGGGTGGGGCGCTTGTTCATCGGTTAACGAAATTCTCAGCCAATTAACAACTCCATCGAATGACAAGGACAGCGCGTGGGGTTTGTACGTCTCGGATCCAAACATGGAGGGACATGAACCCCCAGGTACGATGCCTGGTCAATGCTACGTGACTGTTCCGTTCATTTATCGATTGCTTTAGTTGTTTTGTCCAATATTCCTGTAGCAGGTTCCAGTAGCAGCTTTATTTTAGGGAGAAATAAAAATCTCATTGCCAAGTAAATCGCACAAGAAAAATAAACCAGCCAACAGTCTTCTCATAGATAGTCCCAAACACCAATACCAAGAAATGATTCACATCAAAATGAAAGTTGAAGACGATCCTTGCTTTTTTGAGGACCGTTGTTCAGTGTCTAGGGATTTAAGTTTCAAAGCTTATTTGTCTCAGAAACATGATGAGTTGAGCGTTAATTTGGAGTAGTGCGTGCACACCAAAATGTCGTTCTATATTCCAAAGGAAAAAGAAGCCCGTCCATTCGATTTTCGGCAACGGACTTAAAGGACTGGCGCTAGAATGCAGCTAAATGAATCCTGTTTTATGAGAATTCGAAGTAAACCACTCATAGGCCTACTGTTCATGTCAGGGCCTTCCAAAAGTACTTTGCAAATGCTTTGTATAGTGCCCAAGTTGTTGGAATGGCTTGGACAGAATACTGGGTGATGTGGGAGACACCTCAGTGAGTGCAACTTCGTCCTTTGTCATAACCACTTTTCGCATGAAATTTACACATATCGCCATATCTGATGCTAGATCTATCGCGTTTCAAATATCTTCCCTGTGGTGAACGAGGGCGCAGCCCGACAACTGTTTGGTTTCCAAAAGTACAGTTCTCCATGGCAAGCAAATGTAATGACGTACGCTGCAAAGAATAGGTTAGACCGATCTGTTGAAACAGTGAGTTACTTCAAACGATTATTGATGGGTCGATAAGCTGGTCTGTCATTTGAGCGAGCTTTTGTGCTAAGTTCTGTTATCGGGCCCTTACTGGATTCTGAAATATCTTTTCTGCAGGGACTTTAGCAACGCGATAAAAGAAAGATTGTCTTCTACGTCCATATAATTCTCTTCATGTTCGGCCCATTGTGACTGAATAGGTACTGATAGCTGCTTTTTCATATGGATCGGATTGGTAGTGCAGTTGAACTCATAGACCTTACACTTATAGAGCTCCGCGTTAAACAAAGTAATCCCTTAGTATCTCCAGTCGGTAGGACCGGTCCTTCTATAGTTTCATACATCACTGCCTGAACATCGTTTTGAGAGCGTCAAAACTGTTCTTCGGCTATGCTGATGAACACTCTGTATCCTGAGTCTGAGTCCAGTAGTAAACTGGATTCAACAGAGAATTTGACGGGACCCCTACAATTATGTAAAGGGTACACCAAACACCAAGCGTAATCGTTCATCTTCTTTGCCACTTTAACCTCAAAAAATACAAGGGTGGGATGAGCTCCTGAGAAGCCATTAAAGAGACCTATCAAAGTTTTATGTACAGGATTGCTTTAAGGCATAATGGCAACTTCGCACTCGAGCAAGAGGGTAGAGAACCCACTGAAAAAATAGGGGGAACATTCTTTGGGTTCAGTCTATCGTCAACAGTGGCGGACTACTTCTCGAGCACAAGTTATCTCCGCTTTAACTGTGGTTGTTCTCGCTCAATAGAAAACTTTCCACGACAAGTATAATACTGCGTTCAACATTGTCAATGGACTTTTCGTCATTTATGGCCTTTGTAAGCCGACGAAATGCGAACTTGGAAAAACAGCAAGCATACGGTATTCAGAACATTTATTCCTGTTGTCTGATGGTTATGGTGTGTCACGCATGTTGTTAAACGGAAAATAAGAGAATAAGAAATGACGGACCAAGATCACAAGAGCTCGGCGTTCGCATATCATCTTAAGGAGTACTTTTGAGATGGTTGTTGCGCAGGTTACTGTCAATCTGTTTGCCGAGCTTTTTAACTTGTTTTCAGGTGTTTCGTCACCGTGCATGCACCGTTACGTACCATCCGCGAATTACCAAATCTCCAGTGTTGTTGTCAATATCTCTGGTGGCTCACCGCCCTCTGTTCACGGTCCTTTTAGGTGAAGCTGAAATAGAGTTGGTAAAGGAATATATTGTCTATAGACTGGCTGTTGACATTCAACAGTAAAATTACTCCTAACTACTGTTCATAACTGCACTTAGGGAGACCTACACCAACTGCCTCTGACGCTGAAACCTTGGTAGATGGCAAGTCTATATTTCGAATCGACTGAAAATATGGGAGGGGAGGTGTAGTTGGTGCGTAAGTAAGACGCCCCTGCTCTCTTTGTTGTCCTATCCAACACCACTGCAGCATCCACATTTGGTGCCCCACGATTCTGAATTCTCATGTGCGGGACCAAATACTCTTGTATGGGCGTCGCGTATCATTTCCCCTTGATCGTACTGGGAGCGATTTGTTCCCCACACAAACCTTCAAGCTACTCTCTCCAAACCACGACTTCGTGCACCTTTTGCTGGTATTTGACCTCACCCCCCCCCAAGGTCCCCTACCAGTACGTCATGTCTAGCGAACAGTTCGCGACGATGATGAATAAATTCGCAAACTGCCTGCCTGTAACCCGCACGTCTACAAATTCACAAGGAACAGCGCAGGCCGAATGCCACCTCTACTGGATACGGCTATCAGTATGAAGGGCACTCTCTCCCCAACAGTTGGCTGGTAAGCAAATCGATTGTCACGTCAACATGTAGGTCTGGCGCCCGCTTACCTGCCGGCAGCTACAGGCTTGGTGGCCTCACTGGCATACTGTGTGAGGTGACTCGGGCCATTCCAAGCCACCTAGCCACCGGCAACTTGATAGTAAAGATGCGACACGGCTTCCTTCGAAACCGTCCTTGCACGACGAATATGCTCGTATTCACGGACAGTTTAACGTAAACCAGGGACCAAGGTCCCGTCGGTCGTCTTATCTTCCTGAATGCATTCATTCAAGTTCCATGTGTATCACTGCTTTGCAAGCTTGAATTTTACGGGATTTAAGGAGAAACTTCACGCTAGATTATTCCTTTTAGTTACAGAGGAAAGTTGAATCGACCAACCTTCCTTCGAACCGGTCTCCATTGAAACTTCTCAAGGTCCGGTCTTGGGACTAATTGTTCTAATCTACCTCAAAAACCTGCAAATTTTTGTCTGGTTGTTTTTGGGGTGCTTTTCTCAGTCTATTACGAGAACATGACACTTGGTGTATCCGTGTTTCTTACGGTTATTTGGAGCACGTTCTCCTGCGCTACTCATATTTACCTCCGGATACCTTTATGGAACCAACTTCAGACCACTTCTTGAATACGCTTGTTTCCTTTCAGGACGAAATAATGTGCCTGCCCGAAAAGCCGTAAATTCGAATCGCGCTTTGCCTCTGAGAGGAACTAGTGCTGCCGGCGCCTCGTTCCAATAAGATTTGCTGATCGGATTTTCAGGATCGCGGGTGCATCTTAAGTAAGTAGCTGGTTTACCTAAAAGTAAGTTCGCATCCCTTTTGGATCCATGAATTTTTACACAGGATCGAGACTTTCGCCCAGGTTTCCCGGATCAGCTATGTTCTTGTCGCCCAGTGACTGCCGTTCGCTTACTATGTGGGTGCCTGCCGCTAGGCTGAGGCTGAACGGTCTACCTCTGCTTTTCTTGTATATTTGAAGCGCACGGAGGCCATTGATCGACGAGAAGGAATTGAATGGTGAAGCTCTTGCCATAGCTTTGATCCTATGTTGATTAAATTCAGTGCTGTCAAATCCTTCATCTTTTAGGCAGTTCTGGCCCCACTTTCGCACCTTATCGGGTGCGAACACTATCGGGTGAACACCACTACAAATGTTCACCTTTTATTTGGAAAAAGGTTACGTGAACCGCAATTAAGGGCAAGTTGAAATATGAAACGATATCACCTAGGCATCTCAGTGAATGTCGTGATGGTTCACTGACTACGGAGGGAGAAACCCTCCACTAAGCTAAGCCAACCCAGAAGCCCTTCATGCTTCGAAAAGGTTAAAATAATTTTCTTCCTGCAGAGATTTTATTTGTGAAGCCTAAAAGCATGGAGTTGCCAAAAGCAACTCGGAGGACAATCTTGGTAAGGCAGTTCAGTCGTAAAAACCTGCGAACCCTTTGAATCCAGGTATCGATCCAGAGTAGAACAGTGCTTTCATGAAAATCGCATCAAGTTATTTTTACGTTGACAAGATGTAACTTTTTCCGCACATGACTTAAACTCTTTCAGTCTCCATCATTTGTGAAGTGCCCCCGGCGTGCGAGAAGCAGCTCGTTTCCAAGGCTACTAATTCACAATGGGAATACGTATGTATAACGAACATTTCCGCAAATCATTTGCGTAGATGATTTGTTTATGTGAGCAAATCTTCAAGGTCATCCATCACTGCTGATTGGAAATACTGCGCCATAATGTAAAAAGGTGGCGTAAATGGTGGTAAAAAGCGATTCGATCACAGTGGACGGAAGTTGCAGTTAGTTTCGCGGCTGAGTTGAGTTTTCCGGAGTCTATCTTGTGCTCGCGGGAGAAAGATGTTCGGGCTCCACCGCCGCAATAAATTTCTGCTACGTATGTACTGCTTGACAGAATGAGCACCGAATTTCGTGTTCTAGAAACTTAATAATTGCCATTTCGTGTTCTTATTGCCGTTGACACGTTGCAAATTTCCGGATGACCCATGCGAGTTTTGAAGAACGCAGGGCTTGCAGATGATGATGACCTATGTCCGTAAGTCGAGTTTTGTGGTAAACTGCAGCAGAGTTCTCCATTGTTACTGCAGCAACATGCCAGCACTACCATGTTGTTGTTCCTAGCGGGCCCCTGAATGAACCTCGCTGACGTACTTAACTAACATGCGACTAGGGTGCCACGATACCTAATCAACTAGCTAGGTGTAGTCGACATCGTTCATAGCGGACATGGCGGACACCCATCCAACCCTGCCGGGAAAGATCAACGGTCAAACACAGACGATAAGAAAAAATGCTGAGTNGCTGAGTTTTTTGTGCGATTAAATTGTAACGTATATCCTAGCAAGAGGTTAGCGGTCTTGTTGGTGCGTAGTGTTTAGCGAGGTTTGACGTCCTCAAATCAGAGAAAGATGGGTTTGTTTATCAAAATATCACTAAAGGGCAGGCGTATGACAAACAAAGAAAATACTTACTCTGTTAAGCAGGCATTTCAGCGATGACAGCCTGTTAGGTCCCTGGTTACATCATTGATATTTCATTTCGCTTACTCGAAATGTATCATGCCCCACCAAACAGCATGCTGTAACTGGCGAATTTAAGATGCTTCACACGAAATTATAATTCTCTATCTTTAAGCTGGCGCTCTACAGCATCAGTATCACTATTATGGTATTAACTTGCGGTTGTCAATTGGCCCCTCTACTTAGCAGAAAATGCGGGCGCATACAGAGTTCCGGAGGGCAGATGCTGGGATCCTGTACTTTGGTTTAAGTCGATTTGGTGACATGCCATATTTGCGATCCCTACGGCAAGCACACCTGTACGCTCTCTGGATGGGCCCAGCAGAATGAAGAAAAATGAATTAGTCATAAGGAAACCGCCCTTGGGGACAATCCACCGCATATCAGGTATCACCATCACGACGTTCGACGTGATATGATATGCGATTCTTCGCACATTTGCCGCAACTACTTCTAGCCGGCCCGTCACAAAGCACATGGAAACCCAATCTTGTGTCCCTAGATCTCCATCTGTGTGTGGGCGCTTTATTCATAACCACTGATGGCAACTCGCCAGATAAAGACGTCTGACGCAGCAGCATTTGCCTCCGCCTATTCCTCTCTTTAGTGAAGGACTCCGCCTTCATGGATCTCAGGTCTCCAGGTTAATCCACCACACGCTCGCCGTTGAAACTTGTTTTCCCAAAGCCAGGGTTGGCGGATGAGGAAACCTAGCGGCGTACCGTTTATTTCCCTCTAAGGCTTACACATTCAGTCGTCAGGTATGTTTGATTCCGCCTGCGAATCAACGATGACC